TTCCTTGGGAGAACTCAAGTTCTTCTCAAGACTTTTCAAGCACATACTAAAGGAAAAACTTAAGCTGTTTTACAAAACTTACACAATTAAAGAGGACCCTAGAGTCTTATCTCACTATGGCAAAGATTCCTGTCTCACCAGTATTATTAAGAACAGCTGGGGAGGGGAACAGCAGTTAGTGTAATGGCTATGTTGCTGGACTCTCATGTAGTCAACCGCGGTTCGAGTCCTGGACCCAGTGGCTTAAACTCACGCTGGGCATGTGTGCATGCATGACCAAGATCCCGAGAGGAGAATGGAGGAGAAGGAATTGTGGCATGGCCATCACCCCGGGGGGTGATTTCTCACTTTCTGCCTCTCTGTCTCTCTATGTCTTTCCGGTGAGCACACGTGCCCTATAGCAAAAACCTCTCAGGACAAAAAAAAAAAAAAAAAGAACAGCTGGGGCCAGCAGGTGGCATTGTAATTAAGGTGCTAGATTCCCACATGACAAATTTCAAAGTTTTAATTCTGGGCCCAGAGGCCTGAAAAACATGCTGGGCATGTGTGCATTCATGCCTAAAGTCCTGAGAGGAAAAGGAGAGGGGATTGGGGTGTGGCCATCCCCCTGGGGAGTGATTTCTTATTTCCCCTCTCTTCTTTCTGGCTAGTGTATGCACCCTATGGGGAAAATAAAAGAAAAGAAAGAAAAACAGTCTAATAAATATACTAACGCTGTTCACTACATTTGTACACACACATTCATAGCAGTACTATTCACAACAGCCAAAAGATGGAAGCAAAACAGGTGTTCCTAGAGAATCAAAATGTGGCATATCATACAATGGAATACTATTTAGCTATAAAAAGGAATATTGCTACATAGTACAACATGGATGAACCTTGATGACATTATAAGTGAAAGAAGCCAGTCAGTAAGGGACAAATACTATAGGATTTCACTTATGAGGCACCTAGAGAAGTCAAGTTCATGGAGACAGAAAATAGAATGGTGGTTACAAGGAGCTAGGGGAGGGTGGAATGGGAAGATGAAGAGGTTCTGGAGGGTGAAAAGGGTCACACAAGAACGTAAATATACTTAATGCACCTGAACAGACACAAAATAGTTAGGATGGTAAATTCTATTATGTGTACAATTTTCTTAAAGATACTTACCACTGTTTAAAGATGTTTCAGGAGTTTCCTGATAGTGGAACACATGGTGGTTTCTTGAGGAAGGCCTGTCAGGAAAAGGCATGGAAAGGCCACACAGTTTGCTCTACACATCTCCTCCAGTTAGCTGTTCATCTGTATCCTTTGTAATATCCTTTATAATTAACCAGCAAATAGCCAGCAGAGTTGTATCAATGGCTTCCAGGGCATGAACATTCCCACCACATCCTTGAAAAGCTCTAGTTCCTGGCCTACATCTTTATCCACTTCACTGTTGTTAACAGGGCAGACTAGCAGTTCAGTCTCACTCCTGTGGCTTAAGCCTGAGTCTTTCTGGTCACTTTATAGGTACCTCTGGCCTCAGATCTGTGCCCCCTCTAAGTATATGTAATTCTCCTGACTATTGGTTTGTGGAGGTGGATTATTGGTCCTATTCTCTGTCATACCAATAATATCTAATAAAAACACAATCTACTGGGAACAGCAGGTGACATGGTGGTTAAAATGTTGGACTCCGACATGACTGATGACAGTTCAAGTCCTGAATCTGGCAGCTTAAAAATCATGCTGGGTGTATATGCATGTGTGCCCAAAATCCCAAGAGCAGAATGGAGAAGAGATTGTGGTGTGGCCATCCCCCAGTGGATGACTTCTCACTTTTTCTCTCTTTGTCTCTCTCTGACAAGCATGCATGCCCTATGACAAAAAGCTACAAAAACAAATTAAACACACACACACAATCTACTGACAGGAAGCAAAAGGCCACAATGAACAGAGCTGGCCACCCATTCCCAAACTGATTACAAATGACCATCAGCTGTGGGAAGGGATGGTGGGGTATTACATGAGGTTGAATCAGAAACACATGCCTTCGCATCCTTCCCCAGGTTCCCTAAGCCCAGCCTGGTCCAGCCCAGTTCCTGGGAGAATGAAGTTTGTGTATAAAGAGGATCATCTTTTCAAGAACCGCTGCTCTGAAGGTGAGAAGATCCGAAGGAAATACCCAGACCGGGTCCCAGTGATAGTAGAAAAGGTTCCCAAAGCTTGGATAGGAGACCTGGACAAAAAAGAAATACCTGGCGCCTTCTGATCTCACGGTTGGTCAGTTCTACTTGTTGATCCAGAAGCTAATTCATCTCCGAGCTGAGAATGCCTTGTTTCTCTTTGTCAGCAATGTCATTTCCTCCACCAGTGCTACATGGGTCAGCTATATCAGGAACTCCATGAAAAAGACTTTTTTCTATACATTGCCTACAGTGATGAAAGTGTCTACCATCTGTGAAGCTGCTGCCCCTGAGGTGTGGGGGGTTCCCATTCTACAGAGAGAGGTGGTCCCCTTCCTTGACTTCTTCACCCTCCTCCTCCAGGCTCAAACACCACTTCCCTTCTTAAGGACCTGCACTACTTCATGTTTGTGGCTTTCTCTTCAAGCCCCTCTGAGCAGGAGGGATGATGGTGGAGACGGCCTCTTGAGCCTTTTCTCTCTCCTTTCTTCCCTTTTCTTTCCTTGCTTTTCCATTCTGCTTTTAGACTTCTTGGTTGTCAATCTCTGTCCTATCCAGTGATTGTTTTGATTTCTCTTCCCTTTATCACTACTCAAGGGGCTCAGAATCCCAACAACTCCTTCATTTCACTACCTTCTTTTGGGGGGGGGGTAGATGGAAGGGACTGAAACTATGGGGGAAAGGTAAGAGGTACATCAATAAAGAGGAAACCAACAAAAAAAAGAAGAGAAAGAAAAAGATGCCTACCTGATTGCTGGTCTAAGACTCTCTCTCTTCCCCCTCCTTTCTTCCTTCCTGTTTTAAAATTGCTATACAGGTGTGTGAGATAGCCAGAGAAAGAGAGAGGAAGTGAGAAAGCACACCTTCCCAAAGGGATGGCCATGAAGCCATCTCTCCTACTCTAGCCTCTCTGGATTTTGCAGGCACATGCATTAGGCATGTTTTTCAAGCCTGCAGGGTCCAGGACGCTAAGCGTACATTGGCCTCATGGGATTCAGCAGCCTTAACCTCCACATCACCAGCAGGCCCCAGGACTTTTCTGATTCTACTATGACCAGAGCTCATATTGTCTTTTCTTGCCAGTTGGTTTCAGTCAAACCCTCCCCAGTCCAATAGACATGTTTGAATAAATTTGAACTTCCAAAGAAGAGTCTGCTTTTGGCTCTCCTTCCTCCCAGAAGGCTCCTGTATAACTGTACAGAGGTAAATAGCACATGGACAGCTCCTCACTTCGTCTAAGACACAGGTTGCTATATACCCCTTGGTACTCCTCTATCAGCATGGCAGATGGCTGGTATTGCCTTACATCCACATTAACGGAAGGGGAACCTCAGAAGGTTCATCTCAGACCAAGGACAGTTGTTATAAAGATGACCTGAAAGTCAGCTCCCTGTATATAGACTGGAAACAGTTTGTAAATGGCTATCCTTTCCCCAAGACAAAATGTTGAAAACCTTTTGTGGACAGAAGTCTGACTACTTTTCCTATTTTTCCAAAATCTTTTCAAAAGGGGACTGGGAAAGTCATGCGCACAAACATTAACAGACCATTTATTTTCTATTTTAACAGGATTTTCCTACCTCCTGTTCCTGGCATAGTACCTTTGAGAGATGGCCACGCCGCAATCCCTTCTCCTCCATTCTCCTCTCGGGATCTTGGGCACGAACGCACACGCGCCCCGCGTGAGTTTAAGCCACCGGGTCCGGGACTCGAACCGCGGTCGACTACGTGGGAGTCCAGCAACATAGGCATTATGCTAACTGCTGGTCCCATCTTAAGCCTTTTCTTTAACTAAGACACAGAATTTCTCTTTTCCTTGAGATGTAGATTAAGCCTTTCTTTAACTAAGACAGGGATCTTCCCTTCCAATCACCGACCTAAGAATTTGGGGAACCCACCTAAAACCTACAAGTCCCCCCCCCTTCTACATGTCCCGCCTTTTGGGGCCAGACCAATGGGAAATCTTTTAATTAAATGTTGTCTGTCAATCTCAAAAGCAAATAAAAGGAACCTCTGTACATGATCACCCCGAGAAAAGGCATGTGTGCCTCTTCTCCGGCCTAGGTCACACAGTTGGCTTGGAAATAAACCGCATTAATTATTAATTTTACAGTTGGTTCTTTTTTCCGTCGACACTTTTCACCTAAAACTCCGAGAGAGAGAGAGAGAGAGAGAGAGAGAGAGAGAGAGAGAATAAAAACTCAGGCATAGGGACCACCAGCAGATGGCGGGCTGCTAAGGGCCCTGGACTCCCACATTATTCACCACTGAGTCGAGGATCAAGGACGCCAGGTGGGTGCCCAAAACTCCAGAAAAGAGAAGGGACTGCTCCCTCTGGGGGGTGATTTCTTTCAGTCCCTCTTGTAGCAAGCACAGGCGCCCTATGGCAAAACCTATTAAAGACAGACAAAAACGAAAACCCTCGGGCATGTACTAAAAGAACCGTTTCTGCTCTCGCCATGATCAGCAGCACCACTACTACAGTGGAGAGAAGGCAGGAGTTTGTGTAACTCAAGCTGCGGGCAGGTAGCGCCACGCGCAGGGCGGAGAACCTAGGAGGACCAAGATGAGCGGGCTAAGGGGCGCAGGGGCAGAGATAACGGGACACTGGCAGGTAGGGGCAGAAGGAAGGGACGTGGCACTTTGGCAGAGGGAAAACCGAACGAAATGAGAGGCTACAACCCACGCTGAGGATAAATGCCGTGCGGGCCCAAATCCGTGAGATACCGCGAGAACTCAGCCATACCAACCCCGCCTTCCTAGGCGGAAGGCCCGCCCCGCCCCTCCACATTTTTCCGTGTTCCGCGGTGTCAATAAAGTTGCCGCGGTTTGAAGTTGGACAGCATGGCGGCCTCCATGCTAGGCTCGCTGCTGCGGACGTTCCGGCAGGTCAGACCCGCGCCTTTATTCCCGCCCCTACCTCCGCGGCTTCCCCGCGTCTCTGCCTGTAGTCCCCAGTGTAGACCGTCCTCAGGGCTTCTCCTTCCGCCCTCTTTTCCCCTCCGGCTGGGTACAGGACAAGTCCTAGCGGCAGATGGAGATTGTTACTAGTCAACATTAACGCATGAAAAGCTGCGACCTTGGCCAGCTCAGTGGCGCAGCGAGAACGAGCTGCCCAGGCGATGCCGAATTCCTGTGGGAGATCCCTGATTACGTTTCCCGTTGCACCTGTGCAGGGGCATTAGCGCGCATGATGCTGACAGGCTGTGGGGGCACACCTGTGTGAGACCCTGTTGCGAGTGTCTGACGCTCCCTCTCTCAGTAACAGGATTTTAAAAGTTGCAATATTGGGCCAGCAGGTGGCGTGGTGGTTAAGGCACCGGTCCTTTTACAGTTCAAGTCACGGAAGGCAGGTTTAAAAAGCACTGATGGGTGTGTGTGTGTGGGGGGGTAGGGGAGGAAAGACCAGCAGTTGGTGTAATGGCTATGTCCTGGACTCCCAAGTAGTCAACCGTGGTTCAAGTCCTGGACCCGATCGCTCTCTACCTCTGGTGAGTGCATGCACTCTACAGGAAAAATTGGGGAAAATAATCCATTCATGCCTGCCCCATTTCTAGAAGGTGGCAGTGGAAATTTTGTTTCCTCAGATGAGTTTTGTTTAGTCATGTAAGCACTGAAGGTGTTCAATTTTATCTATTGTTAGTAGATTTTTAAAAATACTGACTTTGCCGGGTGCGTGTGCATGTGTGCCCAAGATCCCAAAAGGAGAATGGAGAAGGGATTGCGGCATGGGCATCTCCCCTGGGGGGTGATTTCTTGCTTTCTGTCTCTCTCTCTCTCTCTCTGTCTGGCGAGTGCATGCGCCCTATAGCAAAAATCTCCAAAAAAAAAAAAAACTGACTTTGGGGCCAACCAAGGTGGCATGGTAGTTGGGATGTCTGGTTTCCACTTGGCCAACTGCATGGTTTGAGTCCCAGACCTAGTGGCTTGGAAAATATGCTGGGCACATATGCTTGGGTGCCCAAAATCCCGAGAGGAGAATGAAGGAGAGATTGTGGTATAGCCATCCCCCTGAGGGTGGTTTCTGACGTTCCCTCCCTCCCTTTCTCTCTTTCTCTCCAACAAGCACACATGCCCTATAGTCAAAAAAATAAAACTGTTTAAAAATGGTGACATTCTGGTATAGGGTCCTTATCTTCAGTTTTATATTCTGCTAAACATATTTCTTCAATAAACAGCAGTTAATGGAAGCCATCATTATTTTCTATAGCTGCAATTTAGTTAACATGTAATATTTCCTTTGGTTTGAGAGAGACTTAAATGTCTAGCAATCTATACTTTCTTTACCTACCATCACTAAGAACTATAAACTATCACCATGTAAATCTGTGACAGTAAGGAACCTATTTTCTTTTTTTAAAAAGAATTATTCACTTTTTTATTTAATTCCATTTGTTATTATTTTTTAATTTGACCAGAGACAAGGAGAGAGAGAAAGGGAAAGCAAAAAAGCAAGCCACCAGATCTGGGGCTTGAACTGCAGTCGGCCATGTAGGATTCCAGTGCCTTTATAACTACCATGCCCCCTGCCCACCCAGGAACCTCCTTTCTTATTACTGGAAAACTAGTGCTAAGAAATATTAGGTCAGTAATAATTTCAAAGTACCCTTTGACCAAGTAGTTCTGCTTCTAAGAATTGATCCTGCAGATACACAGAATACATGTGAAGTGATTCATACAAGGTATTATTCATCACATCATTGTTTATATGACAAATGGTGAGTCGTGGGGTTGGCCCCTTAGCACAGTGATAAAGCTCTGTGCATTGGAAGCCAGATTCTTCATAGCCAACCATAGTTTAAATCCCATTCTTAGTGGGTTGAAAAACACACTAGGCACACGTGCCCAAAATCCTTATGGGAAGGAGAAATAGAGGAAAGGGTTTGCAGCATGAGCACACCCCAATAGGGAGTCCTTTCTCTCTGACAAGTATACATTCCCTGTAAGAACTAAGGGGGGAGGGAGAAATGTTGAGTTATAGTCTAGGCCCATTAATGTCACAGATTAAATAAATTATACATCTATACAGCAGAGTATTATATAACCTAAAGAAAATGAGGAAGCTTTTTATATACAGATATGAAGAGATCTCTGAGATATATTCGGTGAAAAAAGTGAGGGTGAACATTCTGAGAGCATATACATGTATATGTGTGGACAAAAGTCTCTGGAAGGATACACAAGAAAGTAGTACTAGTGGATACCTACAAGGGTGGGGTCACTAAGCAGGTGAAGGATAAGATGGAAGGAAGACTATATGTGTGTGTATTTAGTTATTTTTTTTTGCTAGCGTGCACATTGCCTTCACCAAAAAGAGGGAAAGGAGAAAGCACCCACCATAGGAATGGTCATGCTGCATTCCTTTCTCTGTCGCTCCCTCCTTTCAGGATTTTGGGTACATACACGCACACACACACACAAGCACCTAGCATGTTTTCCAGGCCCCAGGTCCAGGACTCAAACCCTATGGGACCTGGCTGCATTGTTCACCAGGCCTCAGAACCAGTCCTGTTTATACTTTTTTTTTTTTTTTTTTGGACAGATTTTTGCTTTAGGGGGTGTGCTCAC